CTTGGTTCTGTCTTGTCTGGGATTCACTCCTGGTGGCTGGAGGCCTCCTTCCGTGGACCCAGGGCCCCGAGGAGAAAGGGGCCCTTCCCCAGGGCAGGGCAGGGTGGGGAGGAAGCCCTCGTGGGCTGTCCTAGTCCGGGGTCAGGGTCACCGTTATTTTCTGTCCATATTTCCTCCTCCCGACACCATTATCCCCATGAGCCGTGGGCTGGGGTCTCTCCTGGGCTCTGTTCTCACCGAACAGTCAGACGGTGGCATTTGTCTGAGAGGAAAAGGGGAACATGCAGGACGTGCTGTCAAAAATGTGGTTAAAGTTTCTAATGGCTGTGATGGGGCTTCACTTAATAACTTTATATATTAGTCAGCACTCAAGCGCCTTCACATGCATGTCTGGCCTGGCTGGTGTTGCTCAGTGGTTGAGCATCAACCTTTGAACCAGGAGGTCATGGTTTGATTTCTGATCAGGGCACATGCCCAGGTTGTAGGCTCCATCCCCAGTAGGGGGTACACAGGAGACAGCTGATCTATGATCTCTCTCATCATTGATGTTTCCCCTCTCCCTCTCCCATCCTCTCTGACATCACGCATGGTATTGTATATAAACGTCACCTCAATGAGGCTGACTGAAAGTTCAAGGATGGTGCACATTGTTAAAAATTGTGGGTAGAAGCATTGAGGGGGAAGCACAGAAATGCAATGGCTTCTGCTCCTTTTGTCTCACTTCCTATGGGCCTGGGCCACTGTGAGAGTCTTTGAGTTCAGGCCATTTTCGCTGACAACAATAGAAGGCAGAAGGAAATTGTCTGCTTAGAATAAATGGTATTATATCAATTAAGAGGAGATTGGGGGGCGGGTCTGAGATAGGAGTAACCCTAACATAACAGGAAGAAGGATTCTTTATGTCCTTTGAAGATCTAGGTATTAAAAAGAATCTCCAAACCAGCCTTCCTTCTTTTTTTTAAGATATATTTTTATTGATCTCAGAGTGGGCGGGAAAGGGAGAGAGAGAGAGAGAGAAATATCAATGATGAGAGAGAATCATGGATCGGCCGCCTCCTGCATGCCCCCTACTAAGATCAAGCCCACAACCTGGACCTGTGCCCTTGACTGGAATCGAACCTGGGACCCTTCAGTCTGCAGGCCGACGCTCTATCAACTGAGGCACAGCGGCCAGGACCCAGCCTCTCTTCTCCATCTTGTCACTGCGGGCCAGCAGATCTGGAGGAGGACTGTACTATGCTGCCTCCCCCATATCCTTCGTAATGACCACAAAAGTCTGCTGAGATAGATGCACGAATCTGAACCCATGGAGGTTAGTCTGGACACTGCCGCGGGAGGAATGACCGAACTAGACACCTGGGGAGCACAGGCCTTGAATGTCCTCCCGATGAGCCCCATCGGAGCCGCGCCAGGTGAAATGCCAGCCACCAGGGTGTGGGCATGGCTGCAGGTTCATCACTCGGGCGCCTCGGCTGACAAGCCCCAAATCTGATTCCTTGTAAAAGACGAGCGTAGTCACCGGGCCAAACGTCACTTCATCGCAAATGACATAGTCACAAAACACCAGGCGGCAATGTTTCATCGCTGGAGGGTGACAGACCAAGAATCTAATCCAGGCTCCAGGTGGTCTACGTAAAAGTTGCCACCAGGTGGCGTAGTTGCTAGGGAGAGGGCTGGCAATAGGTGTAGTTGGTTTCCCCTGTCTCCCTGCCCTGTGGTGGGGTGGAGAGGACGGATCCAATCCTTCTGGGTTAGCTGGGTTATGAGTGCTCTGTATCCCCAAAGGGCTCAGAAAATTAAAATTCAAGATAATGAGTTTTATTCTAAAAATTAATGTGTGTCCAGCAAAAAAAAAATTTTTTTAGTAAAGAAGGTAGGAAATTTGAATCACGGGGGTGTGTATCCACAAGCCTTCCTGCAGTGGGAGTTTAAACATCAGCATCCAGCTGGACATTCACATCCAGTTCCAAAGACCAATGAGGGAGACGGAGAATTCCACTTCGGACGGCAGTGTGAAGAGCTCCCCAACAAAACTGGTGGAAATATATATATATTAAGGCCCAGTGCATGGATTCGTGCACCAGTGGGGCCCTCGGTTGAGCCTGTGGGGGTCAGGCTGAAATGGGCTCTCCAACATCCCGAGAGGTCCCAGATTGTGAGAGGGCGGTTCTCGAGTGACGCACCCCAGAATCGAGCTCCCCCTCCTCTGGTTTCGAGTGCATCAACAGAGAACTGCAGCTGCCAAGTCACTGCAGCTCAGGAGCTCCTGCGTTGAGCATCTGCCCCCTGGTGGTCAGTGGGTGTCATAGGTACCGGTCAGACGGTCAAAAGGTTGGCTGGTCAGCCGGTTGCTTAGGCTTTTATATAGAGAGATACTTTTTCTAATCACAGATAAATATATTTTATAATCATTAGATATATTTATAATATTTAAATATATTTTGTATATAAATTTTTAAAAAACAATAGTCTTTATATATAAATACTAAAGTCCTATATGCCTAGTAACTGTACATATAAAATTGGTTTTTTAATTATTTAAATCTCTTTAAAGGTAATAGACCGTTTAAAAAAGAAATAGTAACATTTATAAATTAAATTGTAAAATTTACATCAAGTGGGAAATACAATACCTGACAACATCACAGACGAGAAGTGAATGCATACTGTTGTACAGCTCTCACACAGTGTGTGAAGAGGAATAATGTCATTGCAGGTAAACTGGGTTAAGCTAAAGATGGATACCACAGCCCTAAAGCCACCACTGAAATAACAGTTATAGTTAATAAGTCAGCAGAGGAGATAAAACGAAAGTGCACACACACACACACACACACACACCAATTAATCCGAAAGAAAAACAAAAAAGAGACAAAAAAAATTTGGGAGAAATAGAAAATAAATAGCAGGCTGGCATATTTAACCACAATCACATCAATGCTAGTTAAAAGTAGAGATCATCTGATTAAATAAAAACACAAGCCCCAACTATATACTCACTGGCTATAGTATACTTCTTTAAGGTTTTTTATATTTATTTATTGCTTTTAGAAAGAGAAAGAAAGGGGGGAGAGAAAGAGAGAGAGAGAGAGAGAGAGAGAGAGAGGTTTGCTGTTCCACTTATTTATGCATTTATTGGTTGATTCTTGCAAGAGAGATCGTTTGCTGTTCCACTTATTTATGCATTTATTGGTTGATTCTTGCATGTGCCCTGACAGGGGATGGAACCTGTAGCAAGACGACACTCTAACCAACTGAGCCATCCAGCCAGGGATAAATATACGTTAAGTATAAAAGTTTCACAGCCACTATGGAAAACAATATGGAGATTCCACACAAAAATGAAAAACAGAGCTGCCATACAACCCAGAAATTCCACTTCTGGGCATTTACCCGAAGAAAACAAAAACACTGATTCGAAAAGTAACACACCCACCTCGGCGTTCATTGCAGCACTGCTCACCACAGCCAAGACATGGGAGCAGCCACTGGGCAAGACGATGAGGTGCACGGGGCAAGGGACTGTGCGCGCCACACGGGATGAAACCTTGCTCTTTGGGACAACATGGCAGGACCGAGATGATCTCATGAGAAGCGAGTCAGTCGGACAGAGAAAGGCAAAGGCCGATGACTTCACCGCCTGGACCAGCCCTTAGTCTGGGATAAAGCGACTGCGGCCCAAAAGGGCGGGGGGTGCGCCTGGACCAGCCGTGAAGACGCGCTTTCGGTTTCTCGCTGAACAGAGCGCCCCGCAAGCAACCAGGTTCTTGCTGTTTGGCCAGAGCTGGGCCTCGCAGGCCCCCCGCCCCCCAGCAGGTGGTGGGAATTCCCAGGATGCCCCGTGGCTATTCCCAGGATGCCCCGCGGCTGGAACTCCCAGGATGCCCCATGGCGGAACTCCCAGGATGCCCCGAGGCTGGAACTCCCAGGATGCCCCGAGGCTGGAACTCCCAGGATGCCCCGTGGCCGTTCCCAGGATGCCCCGCAGCCACGGGGCCCCAGCGAAGCCTGAGTCAAAGCCGT